GCTTTATCGATCACATGTTATGTGCATGATGTCGGAAACGTCGATAATGATGTTTAACCGGCAAGTACTGATAACCAGACATTGAACAACCGGCCCTGATTATCGATTATCGATGCTATTGCGAGTGTCGCTTTCGCTCAATTAGCGACTGTGGATACTTTTTAATCGCTCATCCTTCTATTGCTGTTTTTTAGTCGTTGGAGTTTGCGTTTATAAAATTTACATAAGAAAGTGGTACTATAATGGATAAAAAGTAAGTCAATTGAACTGGAAGTTGTAAAAAATTGTGAAATATACATATGTATGTATGTGTCTGAATTACAGATCAAAAATTATAATCAACAAAAGGCAACTTGCGCGGTTGGCAAAGGAATTTCCGGAAAGAGTAGGGGAGGAAGCTCTGCTTCGGTCCTCCTGTTCACGTACGCACTATCCAGTAAATCCAGTACTAATTTTACTGGTTTTTTTACTGGATGTCGTTTTCGTACGCAAAAACTTGCAAGAAAGTAGCAAAAGAGGGGAAATTGAGAGAGCATAAGTGACAGCTGAACTTGCAAGTTTTACTGGATTTTTACTGGATAAATTTTTACTAGCAACTATTTGCTATATTATGTGTATACATGGTTATAAGCTGTCAAAATTGTACGTAGCCCTATGAGCTAGGTAAAATACTGACGTTCTTATTCACCACGAGAAATGTCAGATTTTTACTTTGATCCGTCAAAATTTTCTCTTTTCTATCATTTGGCACAGGCCCTAAGATGGAAAATACTAGTTTGCTAAGAAAATTGCATCGGTAAATAACAAATTAATCAGCTGTTCATAAAACTAGCAACTTGTTGGTTTTGCGTTTTCGTACTTTCTGGCATATCTCACTCATTGGGAGTAAATATTGGCTTACTCTCCGAAATATGGTTACTGGCAAGTTACTGGATATTTTTTGCTGGAGAATACGAAAACACAACTAATATTTCTTGTGCAATTAACTCTGGCTACGCCATCCACAGTCTTTTTGCGCAGAACCAACATCAAAAGTTTACAAAAAACTGCATAATTTATTAATTGCCTAGTGCTCGGAAATTTTAAATCTTTATTTTAAATTAAAGTTTAATTCTTTCACTACACTTGTATGTTAAAGTTTTCAAACTCGGTTCACGCGTTTGGACACAAATACCCAACATCATTGTACAATTATCTAAACCGTACCGTATTTCTTAAACTTCCATTAAGTTTATTAATGAGGAAAACAGCTTTTTCTGCAAATAATGTAAAGCCTAAAAACCGGGAATGCATCTTCTATTCATAAAACTCACATATGTACATACACTTTAGCTTCCAATTCCAAGGGATCCGACGAATCTTGCAATTCCCTCCTTGCTTTAAAAAAATTCTAAAAAAATCAACGGTAATTTTTAGCCACTTGAAACTTGCACATTATTAGACTAAAATTGAATGGGCTATAAAACT